AGTAGTAGTAGTAGTAGTAGTAGTAGTAGCAGTACTAGTAGCAGTAGTAGCAGTAGTAGCAGTAGTAGCAGTAGTAGCAGTACTAGTAGCAGTAGTAGCAGTAGTAGCAGTAGTAGCAGTAGTAGCAGTAGTACCAGTAGTACCAGTAGTAGTAGTAGTAGTAGTAGTAGTAGTAGTAGTAGTGGCAGTAGTAGGAGAGGCAGTAGTGCGTAGTCGTCGTGGTCGTGGTCGTGGTGGTGGTGGTGGCGGCGGTGGTGGTGTTTGTTGTTGCGGTGGCAGTGTAGACGGTGGTAGTACTGGTGCTGGCGCTGCTGGTGCGGTGGTTGTGTCGGTGCACAAATAATGATAGCACTTCAATAGCATAAAGGATATTTAGGCCCAACGGCTTGAACCCATGGAGTCGCGTTTGTGCAATCGAAAACGTGGCATCCACTTCTTGTTGAGTTGTTGCTGCAGTGCTACACTTCTTCGCGGTATCACGGTCAGCTACAACTATGCTATCACCCTTTCCATCTGTACGAAATGTTGATTGTAAGCCGTCCATTGTTGGATGTAAAGGTCTCGTTCTGATATCATCAATGTTAAACGGTCTGCTTCTCCAACCAAGGAAACTACAGAAGACAGAGACAAAACGCACATAAAGTGCCACTTTCCGGATCAAACATGAGTCCTAGGGCTAGGATGAGGGTTTTTGTCGGTCTTCGCTTGTAGAGCTTGCGAACCTTGCGTCTACGTGCTATTCATCAGCTCATGTGGGGGCTTTGGGTTTCTGGTTCAGGGCTTGGCGGGTTTAGGGTTCAGGGTTTGGGATTAAGTTTTCAAGCACGGTCTCTTGCAGCTCTCTTGCACACAGGTCTCCAACACAGCGAGCGCTCAGTTGGTTGGGCAGAGGATGCTGGGGATGATGCTCTATGTCTGTCGTGCCACGGTATGCAAGTCGGACATGGGACGGTTCAGAGATTTTACATTGTGGCTTTTGAGGTTTGTGCATGGTGGTTTAGACACTCTTTGGGTTCAGGAGCGTGTAGTGTTTCAGTGCCGAGTTCAAGTTTTATGGTTTACGCTGGGGCTGCTTGGAGGATCAGCGGGTTTCGGTTGGTGGTTACTCGGACTACATGCTTGAAGGTTGCCAATGACTTCGCGGGAGGCTTATAACTCCAACATACTAATGAATCATCAATTCATGAGAGTCTCTGGTTCCCGAGTACTATACTTGCCTTAAAGCGTACTTATGGCATAATAGCATGTAGACCCTCTACAAACCCTGTGTGCACCCAATTCAAAGCCAATAATACCCCACTAAGCCTATATACAGCCTACATAAACCCTGAACAAAGCAGAAGCTCCCAACACATAGCATGCCAGATAGCTGCCAGCTCCATCCACGAAGCCCTAAATCGCAAACGCATCTCCCGAAGTCCCAAGGCGCTCTACAAACTCTCAAACGCCAGACAACTTATGTCATCGTTCCAGACAAGTGAAGCACAAGAAACCAAATACATATCATCATAAGCATGCCTTCCCCACAAGGCATTCTAGCCTCTCATCTTAGCCTCTCACCTGCGACCTGGCACCCCGGAAACTTCAAACCGCCAATCTCCAAGCCGGCACCCTGCATCCCAACACAGAGGATGCAAGTGGAATTAACGTAGCCATGCCCCGCCACGAAATAAACAAGGTTCCATGAAGACCTTGAGACAGCGGTAAGCATCAAAAGCTCTAATGTAGTCGAGTAGGTAGCCTTTAACCTTGTTGGGGTACTATCATACTTATATGTTCCCAAAGGTTAACTTTTGGTTCCCCTAGAATACTGGACAGTAGGGTAAACTCAGGCTAAATCTGGCCTGAGAGATCCATCCGAAGCAAAGCACCAGAACCCATTCTGTCCGGGGTGTAGGGCTTCGCTCTTTGGAACAACCTCGTAAGCACTAGTGAAAGCCACGCAAAAACAAGCGCCAGCCCACGCAAGGGGGTGGGAGGTTTAGGGTTTAGGGCCCCGATAGAGTTTAGGGTTTAGGGTTTAGGGTTTAGGATTTCTGACAACCCTAAACCCTAAACCCTAAACCCTAAACAAGTATACTGGAATCGAAATCACCGACCAAAGAGAGACGCTTGCTGAGGCATTGCTCAGGCGCAGCTCGCCCTGGGTTCTCTGCAGGACTTGCGACCTTTCGTTTACGCTTTAGGGTTTAGGGTTTAGGGCTTATAGGGTTTAGGGTTTGGGGTTTACGGCTTGAGGCACGTTTGGAGTTTCAGGAAATGGGGCTTATCAGGTGTCTGATGTTCATTCTTATCGAGAGTCAAGAGCAAGAGTGCGCCCGGACTAGTGCGACCATCATTAGTCAAAGGAGCACAATTTTACAATCACTGGGTCGTGCAGCTGGGAATAACCGGCCGGCTTCTTCGATTCAGAGGGATATATTCCTGTTACAATAAACTCCTTGACGTGGTCATAGATGATCTGATAGTGTAAACCCTCGATGCACTGAACAGACTGATGCGGTACGCCTGAAGCCAAAAGCCACAATCGAACGCCAAGAAGATGTTTGCAGATCTATGTTGGGGAGCAAGACAGGTCGTGTAAGCCTCAAGGTCTTCAAGGTTTGTGTGGTGTGTTGATGTCCGTAGGTACCGCAGAGGTTTGGGGTCTCTGCAGATTTGCTGGACGGTGAAGGGACGTTCAGGTTTCGAGCTGGGAAGAGCAAGGGAATTTCCTTCTGGAGTCGCTGCCTTTGACACAGAGGTCCGGTGGGTTTGGGCTCAAGCTGCCTCCGAGACTACTCCAGACAGGGTAAAATGTTCGACCAGCCACAGTGATGCGAGAAGTGGAGGATGCGAGAAGGAAGAGGGGGAGGCTGAGTGACCGATGGAAGGGTCTGGTTATGGGTCCGATACTGTTATGCTGCGTTTGGCCCGGCATCAGCCTAGAAGGTCTTGCAACTGCTACGGCCCGGATACACCCCACTCTATCTGCAAGTTCGGGCGACACAACGCAGGAAATCCAAAGAAAGAACAAAGACCTCCGAAAGGAGCTGCGGAAGACTCCGTGGCCAAGGTTGAAGTGTTTTGCGGCAAACGGGTGTGTCCACAGCCTGCCTCTGCGAGCCGTGAGCAGAGAGCCGTCACATCGGCCGGCGAAAGCCAGGCTGGAGTACTTGGCTGGCTTCTTCGATGGGGATGGCTCCGTTAGTTGTAGGACGAATCTGTCCGGATGCCAGTTGAAGGTGTCGCAGTCTTACGACCAGGCGGAAGTTCTCATGCTCTTCCGCGAGGCCTTCGGTGGGAGTATCGTGAGCGAACGCGATGGCATGGGTTTGGGAAAGCCAGTGCTGCAGTGGCTGGCATGCGGCCCGTCAGCCCGAAGGGCAGCTGAGCTGCTTGCACCACACAGCAGCACCAAGCAGAAGCAGCTCTTGCTGGCGGCCCTGTGGCCAGAGACACAATCAGAAAGAGAGGACTGCAAGGCCAAGCTGCAAGCTCTTAAGAAACGCGATTCAGCGGTCGCTGGGCCGTGCAGCTGGAGCTACTTCGCCGGCTTCTTCGATGCAGAGGGGTGCATCAACCAGCCAAATGACGGAGGAGCCTCGCTGGTACTGAAAGTGACGCAAAAGCATCCCCGAGTGCTACATATTTTTATTGACTTTTTGAAAACAACATCAGGCATAGACGCAACAATTCCGAAGTGCAGAGAACATGCAAACGTACTTTGGGTCTACGGCTTCTCCAATTGCAAGCAGATGCTTCAGCACCTCTTGGACGCCGGATTGCTTTGCAAAGCGAAGCAAGCGCAGCTCGCTTTGAGCCTGACGCCGGAGAATGCGTCCGAAGTCAGCGCTGAGCTTGCGGGCCTTACCGGGAACAAGCAGCTTGGGAAGAGATTGGATGCTGCGGGCCAAGAACGGGCGAGGAAGATCGAATCAGAGCAACGGCGGGCTGCCCGCCTGCGTCGACGAGGATTGCGCACAGAAGTTGAAGCAAAGCAGCGCAGTATTGCGAAGCTCAAGCAGGAGCACGAGCTACTCAAAGTCCATTGTGAGAACCAGCAGTTGCTCGATTACATATGCAAGCTACAGAGCTTGCACCAAAGTGCGTGGGAAGGGCCGCTGCTTCCCGGTGTGTGACGCAATCGAAAACAGAGGCGAAGCCAGCTCCTGGGTTCCATCAAGGGGACACTGTAAGGGCTACTATAGAGGGCTGCTACAAGGTGCTAGTGTAGGGTTATCATGGGCTGTAGATCCACCTAGTTGACTATGATGGCCACGCATCATCGTTTTTCTTTCTGGATGTTCCTGCTTGCCGTCTTGATGTGTGGCCAAGGTCGTTCATGATTCCAATCATCGTTCGAGAGCTCGCTTAGACCATCGAATCAGCCCGAAACTACATGTGAACCTTCCTCGCTACCTTTCCCGAGCAGCACTTTGAATTTGGGAGGTTTAAGATCGAAGTTGTGGTTTGAATGTGTTGATGTCCTTCAGGGTCTACTGCACATGGCTTGCCTTGATTTGTTGGAGTCTGCGGTCCTTGAACCCCAATGTCGGGTTTCGGGTTTAGGTTGAATCATTCACAACAGCGACGAAACCTTCGACAGCTGGATGTACAAATTGGATATGAATATGAAAGCTTGTCCACTAGTCACACGGTTCGTCATAGTTGGTCTTTGGTGCTTCGCTCATGGCTCAGGGTTTGCCGCGAGCAGGAACAGTGTTCTGTCAATAAACATCATACGGAGAATGATAGCGGAAGTAGAGGACACCTCCGAGACGAGCTTTCGCTTGGCACGGCTAGCCGATCTGGTGGTTCATGAACAGCCTAGGCATAGGGGCATTTCACCACTCAAAGGTTGCGGCACGTACTCACACTTGTGGGTACATGTGCTGGGGGATTTATTGGGTGTAGGGCTGCGAGCAATTCTGAAACTCATGTTGCAGCCCTGGGCAAACACTGATGCCAAGTGTCGCTTGAGTTTCGTTTTTTGGTTCGTGGCTTATATTATATTATATGATATTATATTATATGATATTATACTATATTATATTATATTATATTATATTATATTATATTATATTAAATTATATTATATTATATTATATTATATTATATTATATTATATTATATCATATTTTATTGTATTATATTATATTATATATCATATTATATTATAT